GCCGAGTCGCTTCAGTTCTGAAACCATACAGTGGCTTATCGAGCCATGGAGGGACTCCAAATCATAGATCTGATGTGGCAACAACATATCTAAGTCCCTAAACTCGAATTGGGTCTCAAACAACCATAAAGCCTCAAATCTCATAACAAAATAGATCTACATGCAAAGGAGGGAAAATAGCATCTTATTACCTCCAAGATGAACACAAACTGAAGTAGATTTCGGATCTACACCTCTCCTTTGAAGCAACCTTCTTGATCTTCAAGTTCCTTTCCAAAGTTTCCTTCCTCCAAAGCTATTTCTCTCAAATAATGGAAGCTCACATGAAATCTAGGGTTTACAGGTTCTCTAGGATGATATGGAGGCTGAGGGAGGGACATAACACCCTTAAAATAGGATACAACTCCCGGAATTAAGGTTTTCCTCGTTCAGACCAGACTCGCCGAGTCCCCTTAGCCGACTCGCCGAGTCGGTCACTTACTCCTTGACCCGGATCCCGCTCGGACTCGCCGAGTCCCTCCTTGGACTCGCCGAGTCGAACCCCCTTGACTTAGGGTTTTCTTTCCTTTCTTGGTCTTTCTGATTTTGGGTGTTACACTTCTCTTACCTAATCTCTTTTACGTTTTCACATATTTTTTCTAAACTCTCTCGACTGTATCAACACTACTTCACAAAAGTTCCAAATTACTTCTTCTTTTTTCTAAACTCGACACTAAGGAAAATCACAAGGAGAAATCAGAGGGGTGATCGAAGTCAACCTCCCGAGGAAATTACCAATCATCAATTATTGCAATTCCCACAAAATTTGAATAAAGAAAGACTTACTTGATATCAAAGTAAGCTTAGTTTGTTGCTCACCAAGGAAGTAGACATTGCGTCATCATTCGATTGGGGATTGGCATCCTAAACTGGACTCAATGAACTGATCTGAACTTTTTTTACATACACCCACTTTGACGCAGGTGGTGTGCCCATGTTTGTATGACGTGATTAGGAAAGATTGTTCATGATACAGGAACATGTTTACCTGGAATTTTTGTTGGAGTTTTATGCTATAGTTTCCTTTGATCCTAGGAAGACTCCTGATGATTGGACATCAGTTTCATTTTGACTTGGTGGAGTCAGCAGGGAGTGCAGCGCTATTGAGTGTGCTGTGAGAGTGGGAGTCTATATTTTAGATGAGATGAGGAGTGTCCACTTCCAATCATTTCTTGATGATTGTGTTACAAGACTGCGTACTGATTACAGTGAAAATATATTTTAGGCTGACCTTACAGGAGGAGTGTATATACCGTCAACTGCTCGAGGCAAAATGATTCGCTCCATCACATATAGATTATTGAATCACTTGATCTTTATCTCTCTCGTGCATCACAAGAATAGTAAGAGGTCGCCTTCTACTGATTTGTACTTGTTACACCAGGGAGGAACCTGAACTTCCCAATAGCTTTAGCTACATATATGGGGCAAAGGGCTAAGGGGCTTCGCCAAGATAGACCAACTTGTGGTGGACACTTTATCACTTGTTTAGCTAGATCATACTCATTATTGACAATAGAGACTATGAGGTCGATGGTTCATTATGATGTAAGGGTGATGAGTTTTCTGATATTGTAGTCGATGAGGGTCATTATGCTTGGTGATGATGGTATTTTGAGGATACAACCTAATGATGTGGCACCTGAGGTTGATGTAGTAGCACCAGAGCCACAGAGATGAAAGAGGCGTAAATCTGCTCCATAAGGAGCACAACAGGGACCATAACAGGAGATTGATATTGGTTACCTTGCTCAGCACGTAGATGATTGGTTTGATGTGTTCGAGACTAGGCGTCGGTTATCATCAGCCGGTTCCTTTTCCTCCACCATATCGATAGCCAGGTGATGAAGCAGACACAGATGGAATGCAACAATAGGATGACGAGGATGATGAGTGACTGCGATTATCCTTTTTTTTCAGTTTATTTTTGTTGATTAGACTTAGTAGTTTTATTTTATTTTGGTGTGTATTTAGTTTGTTTAAATTGGGATATTTAATTTATTTTTGGTTGTTGTAATTTTGTTTTCCATGTTGATGCTCTTTGATCTTTTAGATTCTTGAAGGATTTTCGCCCTTAGAAAGTTGGCAATATGTTCAGCCGCTAGGTCGAAATGTTGTTTTGTCACAAGAGAAAAAGCCGTGGCAGTTTGAAGTGTATAATCAAGAGTCGTGCATTTTAATAAGTGTGGCGTGTGCATTGATTTCGTTAGGGATTATTTTTTATTTCTAAGAATGTTGTTTCTAACTTTATCGAAACCCCATGACATGGAAGAGCTTTTTCCATGCCATGGATTTTTGTTTCAACGCGAATTAGTAGTATCATCCCAGATGCCACAACATGGTTGACACTTTCATATGTTTTTTTATTTGAACCGGCAAAGTAACCTACTCCTAAAACCACATATGTCTCCTAATGAGACTTGAACCCATGACCTCTTATTTCAGAGTGTCACTCCTTACCGCTAGGCCAAAGGCCCTTTGGTGACACTTTCATATGTCGTGGGGGAATTTTTCATCGCAATTACCTTCATTTGGTTTCAGGGGTTATTTGGGATCAGGTCGGTTCGGTCCTGTTCCAACCTGAATAACATCCGTACTTGTTAGAAACACCTTATCAGACACATTGTTAGCCAAGTGGGCTAGTCTCAACTTGTTAACGTCTTTTAGATGAGGGACCAAAATCTTTACAGCTAATCAAATTACTGAATTAGGCACCAAAATTGAAACAGTAGCTTATTTGGGACCAAAACCGAAAGTATTTATAAAAAAACAAGGACCAAAACTGTATTTTTCTTTAATAAATATGTTAAAAGTGATGGTGGCCAATGAAAAGTTGAATACATGTACCAAAGTCCTACTTTGTTTTCACTAAAGCATATAATTTCTGCTTTACAATAAATTATCAACTAACAGGAATAGCTTCAAAAGTTGTACCGTTTACATTTGGCCTCTTTCCAAGTATATGTACAATTATTGGACTAAACAATCAAAGACAGCTATTTGGCATATTGAAAAATAAACGGTGTCATTCCGCTATTCAACCCCATATCCATCTTCAACAGGAACCAAACATTTCCCGACTCCTATCATCGTCTTCGTTCCCTCTTTTTGTCCACCATCCCGTCCCGCTCCATCATTCATCCACACCATGTGCTAACAGCGACAACTATTGAAAATAATTGAAGTATTTTTATTTAAAATAACTAAAATAGCATACTTATTTTCGAATATATGGTTTAATAAATATAAAAAGTAATCTATGAAAATCTAGTAAGTTGCAAAAATAATTTTGTAATTAATTGTACTATTTTGTTAATGTTTTAACAAACACCTAATGGAAAATATGTCTTGTGTAGTTCTGTTATGTCCAATTCAGTAACGTGTACAAAATGCGAAATAAGATGGAGCCCTTTTAGGTCATTTTCCCTTCTAATAATACATGGGAATAAAGATAATAAACGCTTCCGTTTGTTGTGGGTTCATGCTTTCTTTTTCTTGATATTACCTCTGTTCAAGATGTATTTACATTTTTTTAACGGCAAAAGAAATATATATTAAGCAAACTAAAAAAACCAGCATAATTAAGCTGGGAGGAAAATACAAAGTAGAGAGATACAATTACTAGGCCGAACCAAGCTAAATAAAAGAAAGCAACGCCAAAACATAGTAAAGTGTTTACATAGAACTAGGAGACTAGGAGTAGGAAGTAATTAATTATTTACATTCAAACTATTTAAAATATAAGATATGCTAAATTTGGAATTTTATCCAAATGAAAGGTATTAATTAATAAGTTGACGAAATCAACTATGTAGCAGAAATATTACACCCTGTCAAGGTCAATACGTTGCTTTCTTCCAGCATATCCTATATACCCTAATTAAGAAATAATATTTTAGAATTCAATAAAATGATAGTGAAGACTATTCAGCCTAAATTCACTGCACTTGTCCAATTGTGTATGATAAGAGAAAGATAGAGTTGACCAAGTCTTTGCTTGTCTATTGTTAAATGCACGATATCAAATCGATCAATATCTGAAACTATACTTCCTTGAAGCTATTCACTTTGCCCCATACAAATTTGCCATCAAAATGATGCATATCACAAGAAAGTTTGAACATCTCAAGATTCAATTACAAGCTATAAAATCAGCAACCAGCAACTTTGCTGATGACAACTGCATTGGAAAAGGAGGATTTGGCAAAGTATACAAGGGGGAGCTTCTTCATTCCAAGGGACAAACAATTGTTGCCTTAAAACGATTAGATCCTACATTTGGACAAGGAAACCCAGAGTTTTGGAAGGAGATCATTATGCTTTCTCTTTACAAGCATGAAAATATCGTTTCTCTGTTAGGGTTTTGTGACGAGAGTGACGAGAAGATCCTGGTATACGAGTATGCATCCAGGAAAAGTCTTGACTTGCATCTCAACAACGATGATCTTACTTGGATCGATCGGATTAAGATTTGCATTGGGGCGGCTCGTGGACTAGCATACCTTCACAATCCTGGTGAGACCCAACAAAGAGTATTACATCGTGATATCAAGAGTTCCAACATCCTACTGGATGAGAACTGGAATGCCAAGATCTCTGATTTGGGTTTATCCAAATTTGGTCTTGCAAACCAACAATACACATTTATTGTCTCTAACGCTGTAGGCACAATTGGGTATTGTGATCCACTATATGTTGAATCAGGATTATTAACAAAAGAGTCGGACGTTTATTCCTTCGGAATAGTTTTGTTTGAAGTGTTGTGTGGGAGGTTGTGTATAACCCACGGAACCGGTATTCATCAATCTTTGGTCGGATTGGTGCGTCAATACTATAAACAAAACAAAATAAATAAAATTATTTATGATACTATAAAGGATGAAATGACTCCTAAGTCTTTGGATGCGTTTACCAAAGCTGCTTATCGATGTTTGGAGAGAGAGTTGGAAGAACGCCCATTAATGACAGAAGTCGTGAGAATACTTGAAAGTGTTCTTGAATATCAAGTAAGTTGTGTTTTTCCTTTTATATTTACTTCTACTAGTAATTGTTTTGAGATATATATCTTAATTCTAGTGGAAAGTTCTTTACTATAATGCCTCCTAAATTCAGAGAAACAAAAATGAAAAACAAACAATGTGCTGGAAATGAAAATGAAAAGTTTATTTGTGATATTCTCTATCGAAAATGTATTATATGCATCATATTTGGTTTCGGTAAATAGTAAAATATATCCAAAAAATACTTACAAAAGAGCTGACTATGTTTGCTGGATACACGACTACGAGAAAGATAAAAATAATTGGAACCATTCATATAAACTTAATTTGAATTCCATATAAGAATGGATACCTTGAAGAAGCATCATCCTATCTCTGGTCAAGGTTTGTAGTAGTGATTTATACTGCTACTTTAGGCATGGTTTGATGTATGTTATATTTGCTGATGTTCTGTGATTGCATTCTTTAATGTTCTGGTCATTGGCTTTGCTTAGATCTTTCCAACCCAACACCAAATTTGATGTTAACATCAATTTTGTTGTAAAACTGCTACACCCCAAAACCATTTCTTGCACCAAATATGATGCTATGGTGTTATTTGTTCACTGATACCAAAATTAGTGTTAAAGTTGGTACAAAATGGTCTTTGATGATACGTTGTAAATAGTAGTAATTTTGTTTTTTATGTTTCAAAATTATTTAAAATTTTAGTACTTTTAGTAATATCAAGAACAAACATCAACTCTAATAAATGAAGTTTTTTTTTTTAATTTTTTTTATTTTCCAGTTATCATTTTTTGAGGTTTTTCATTTTTACATGAAATTTCCAACATTTACGGTTATATACATGGAAAGTTCTCTTTCTATTCATGTAAGATTTTCATTTTATTAATTTGAGAATATATTCACATAAATGTTACAAACTCATTGATTTACTTTTTTTTTCAATTACTTTATAAAATGTTTAATGTTTACATATTGTTATTAAACTTTTTATTTTTACTAAACCAGTGTAGTACACGGGTTTCACACCTAGTATTTAATCAAAACACATAATTGACATATATTATCATGTACTAATCTCATATAAACACATAATTAAAATATATAAGAATAATTCATTTGGTTATAGTTGTTAAATATTATAATTTATAAAATTATTGTAACAAAAATACAGTTTTTTGTCTAAAATATAATGTAATTCGTTGAAGATGAATAACTATTTAAACCATTTTTTAGGTCATTTTTAGTACAAAATATGGTGTTCGGTGTCAGGGTTAGAGACAGGTCTTAGTGGAATAAGGGTGTGCCGGAGTAGTTATTAAAGAGAATAATTAATTTCTCCTGTTTGTCTTATGTTAAGGGACTCATATGGTGTGATTCATTTGGGACCTATATAATGTGATTCAATTTCGGTTTTGTTTGCAGTCTGTAAACTCCTTAAAGACATTCACTATGGAAACTAGATCACAATATTTATTGCCAGACGCAAGGCCGTCAAGTTCTGTTGTTAATAGTATAAAAGCCACAAATCCAGGTATTTTCATATCAACTGTCATTTAATCTTATGTCATCACTTTTATAAATATAATTTAATAGTGTAGGAATAAGATATACAAGTGTTCTTCTATCATGCTAAGATCTAGTGTCTGATTTCTTTTTGACTCAAAGGATTTAATATCGTTATATCAAGGTTGTAAAAATCGTTCGACCGTGGCTCGACGGTCGACATGGGTTAAGGGATTAATCGGTCTTGGCGGAGATTAATCATTGATTAATCGGGGAGCATAGATTTCTAGTAAAATATTAAAATTAATCAAAAATTAATATATTTTAAGAAAAATAAGTACTTCAAAATTAGAAAATAAGAGAATTTGTAATTTGAAAATTTGAAAATACAAAAATATGAACATTTTGGTATAATATTTGAAAATTTGAAAATTTATAAATTTTGGTGTAAAAAACAGTTAATTTTGTTTTTTTTTTTTTTTTTTTACTTTTCTGACCTTTTTTTTTTACTTTTATTGACTTTTTTTACTTTTGTTGACCGATTAATCCCGCCAAGACCGATTAATCCCGCCAAACCTGATCAATCCCTTATTTCCGTCAAACACATTAATCCTAGTCGGTTGGACAACGCCAAGCGATTAATCCCGATTTCTGCAACCATGGGTTATATGTATGTCTTGTGGTTTTAGCCTAATACAAAAAATTGTCTTGATGGATTAAAGGTAGGAAGAAATCTACTATGCATTCATGCTCCCAAAATTCCCATTTTTCCCTCACCCAAACCCATCTATTGACTCATCTTTCCTTCACGGTCTCACATGTGGTTTAGCGTCTCTTATTATTGAGTAAATTATACGGATGTTCCTTATTGTTTTGGGTAATACACGTGTTTGGTCACTATTTTTTTTTACATCAGACAGTTCCTATGATATATTTTTGATGTGCGTTTCGTCCATGACATAAATAGAAGGACTATGTTTCCCTTGCTGGATTTTATTTATTTATTTATCTTTTTTAGTTTTTATTATGTATTTAAATCTTTTATTTAAATATGTTATAGGAACCCACTATTCTTTCTTTCTTGCTCTAACCTATTATCAAGGTCTTCTATCAAGCATAATACATTCCCTTGCTCCTCAAAAGAAATATAGCATAAAACTGTGGCCATCATTGTTGCTAAGATAACATATTTATGATCTATTCTTACTTAATTTATTATCCTATTAAAACCCCCATTTATAATGTAATAGCATCGACGCCACCTACTATTCTACGAACCCAATAGTCAATGCTCACACAAAACACATCGAGGTTGACTTCCACTTTGTTGGAGAGACTACTAAGAAGGAACTACAAGTTCAATTCATCTGTATGGGGAATTAACTTGTACACAGCCTTACAAAATCCCTTTGTATTAGCTTCATTTTCATTTCAACGTTCCCAGCTTCATGCTGCTAACACTACTAGTATAGTCGGGCTAATCCCAAATATGTATATGGGCCATATCGTCTAGGATTTAGTATATTATTATGTATATATAGCCTCACGTCTTTGTAAATTATTCGATGCATAATCAAGAGATTTAAAAAAATATCAAGTACTCATTCAACAATGTATACCCATCTAATTGGTAAAAATGCATGTTATATATATATATATATATATATATATATATATATATATATAGCACGCTATCCCTAACCCCGCCATATTAAAGATTTCATATTATATTACTTTTATATTATAACTTTTTTATAAGATATATATGCAGTTCAATATTGTCGATCCAAAAGAGCCTTTATGGAAAGAGGGTGATCCTATCATATGCAAACACCTATAGGGCCATGTCGCATAGATGTGTAATACACTAACACTCCTCCATACAAACAGAAGCTCGATAAGGTCAACCGGGGACATGTTATGCCATGAGGGTGCTAGAATCTGGCTCTAATAGCATCTAAGATATATGTGAAGTACTATATTCACTCACCAAAAAAGTCATTATGGAGAGAGAGAGAGAGAGAGAGAGAGAGAGAGAGAGAGAGAGAGAGAGAGAGAGAGAGAGAGAGAGAGATGGCTCAATATATATATATATATATATATATATATATATATATATATATATATATATATATATATATATTTGATGTATGTCCGCACAAAGCAACGGTGATAAATAGTATGTTTATATATTTGATGTAATTAATTATTATATGTATCTAGTTTAAGAAATGTAAATTAACTTATATTGATGAATTTAATATTTTAAAATTGTTATTTTGCTCCAAATTAATTTTTTAATAACCTTCATTAATTCAAGTCTTCAAAATTTTGGTAAGTATTAATGGTTTTGTTATGTATAATTGATTTGTATAAAAAGCTTGGTATCTTGTACCTCTTAAAATTTAAGATATGACTAATATGCTATATATATATATATATATATATATATATATATATATATATATATATATATAAACGTGTCACACATATCTTCACTAACATTTTCCTTATCTAAATTCTAAATTCAATATTTAGAATAAAAAACAAATATCTAAAACAAGCCCATACACACTTTAATCATTATATCTTTATTTGGTAGTTTTATTATTACATTTTTTTGGAAACAACGATTTTTTATTAAAATGATCCAAGCAAGCAAGAAGCTAAAAAGGGGCCACCAAGAAGACATTACAGTACATTGAAAGCAATACAATTATAGAGATGCAAGAGGAGAAACATTCCAATCCTCCCAATTACAAATTCCATTTTTACCCCTTACTTTGAGCCAAAGATACAACAAGGATTTGACATTCTCGAACACTTTTCAAGGAGAGCTTGTGCACATCTGAAAAAAAAAAAAAAAAACAAAGAACATAAGAAAGTAAATATGGTTCGGTGATCAGAATAATCAAGTTATGTCCATAGGGTGACCTAGCGAAAAAAAGTTATTAATATCCGGCAAACATATGATTGCTGCAATAAGCTTACATTAATACAAAGAGATCTATTTATAATGATGACCTGATATAATATATGCTTCTGGGTCAAATCCAAATATGATATCATGTATGGCCTTTGCAGCGTATCGCTGAGCCACGACCAACTATGTAATTACTCTGTACATGGTTACACCACAACTTACTCTGTACTCCACACTCCACAGACTTCTTTTCGACTAAACAAACTCGCATACATTTTGTTCGGGAACTACGGACCACTTTACATCTACCCTCGTAGATGGGGATGCCAAAGGGGAAAAACGGGACGGGGGTTGCACCCCGACTCCACCCCCTTAATTTCCCCATTCCTCCACCCCGCCCTCGATTGATTTTGAGATATTTTTTTCTTGGGCTAAAATAAGTTGTTTTTGGGCTTAAAGAATCTATTTTTGGATTAAAATAGTTATTTATAACTTAATTGTACTTGTTAAAAACAAAAATGTCATCACATCTCAAAAAAGTTATACGGGCCCCATGGGGGTTCGAGACGGGACTGCTCAACCCCGTCCCCGCCTCCGATTTTTTTAACAAATATCCCCCATATGGGATCGGGGCTCTACAAGTTCGGGGTCCCACAAAACTTTTTGACATTGCTACACGTAGACCTTTGGGGCCATGCTTACACTTAGTCATGGAAATAATATGAAAAGAATAATCAGATTCTACAATTTAACACTATTATTAGAAATTAACTTCTATTGCCTTCTTTTTCATACTACCAAGGTAATGAACATATGTCCTACATACCATAAGAGAACTACCCTACAAAACATAATGCACATATCTCCTGCATATTATAAGACATAAGATATCTTTGTTCTTTAGTAATATAGAACATATATAGCTACAGGACCCCCATGTTTTTGGGGATGATTTGGGGCAAGGAAATGTTGCTTATAAGAATTCCCTAACAATAGCAGCATTCCCTCATTCCGTTAACCTAAAAAATATCGTTTCCTGCATGCTGAATGCAATGATATAATGCTCCATTAACAACTCTACTCTGCAATCAAGAAATAGGATTTAAATTATTAATGAGTACCAACATTATATAACGTATCCACATATATTTTAATAATAATTTGTTTACGAGTATTTCTCTTTGCATGTGTAACTTGCATTATACAAATAATAATTCCATACAAATCAGGGTCTAATACTCAAATCGGCATCAACTGCAACAAATTAATAAGAATGTATCCACGAAGTCATATGCTAACTAGCATGTATCCGAACACGAAAATGTCGAATCATATGTTTTGTAAGAATTGAGATATCAATACAAAAAAGAATACAATATGAATTCTTATTTCCTAATCATTTTCCCCGATATTCTAATTTTATTACATTAAATCAATGATGATAAACTCATGTATTGTTGGCAGAATTGGCAGGCAAGGTAGAGAATACTGATCTATTCGAGATGTACTTCAAAATAGCAGATTTAGATAGAGATGAACGTATTAATGATGTGGAAGCTGTTCCATTCTTTCAAACCTCTGGATTACCTAAGGCTATTCTTTCTCAAATATGGGCATATGTTGATGTAAACCGTAGTGGTTACCTTAACCGACCAGAGTTCGACAATTATCTAAAACTGGTAACCATTGCTCAAAGTAAGCAAGAACTTACTCCAGATATTGTGAAAGCAGCTCTATATGGACCCGATTCAACTAAAATTGCTGCTCCCCAGATTGACCTGGAGGCCTTAGCTGTTCCTCAACTAAATTTAAAGGTATGTTTGTCGTCTCTCTCTCTCTCTCTCTCTCTCTCTCTCTCTCTCTCATATATATATATATATATATATATATATATATATATATATATATATATATATATATATATATATATTAAAATTAGGATCGGGTGAGGACTAAAAAACTGCAAGAACAAATCTTAGTCTTTTATTTATAAAAATGAAAGTTTTGTATTTAATATGCAGCAAACGTAGTTTTTCAAAAACTGAAATCCGTTTCTGTAAATAATAAGAAACCTCAAGGTAGAAATGTGAAAAAATTTAAGGGCCAAATTGCCAAAAGATGATACACACCGCGCCTTACATGCGTTCCCTAACGATCGTAGCGAACTTTCATATTACACATGTCAATTTCTTCTTAATTGGGATTTTTTAATTTTTCCGCCCATTTAATTTTTTGGCAAAAACTTTTTTTAAATGTTTTTTAATAAAACTAAAGTTTTTAAAATTTAATTGTTTAGAAAATGGGTATAATCATGAAAAATTGAAAAAAAATATATTTTTTAATTTTAAATTTTAAAAAAACCAAGAAAAAAAAAATTATTCAAAAATCATGAAAATTTAAAAGATACTTCTGTTCTAGACTTTGTAAAAACAATTTTTTAACATAAGTATTCGAAGTGCTTATATTTTAATTTTAAGAAATAATTAATTTTATAAAATATAATGAAATTTATTTTTATCCAATTTAAAAAAAATGATAGAGTTCTTTGTAATAGTATTTTACTGTGTTTTTGTAAAAGAAAATTGTCAAAAATATTATTGTTAAAGATAAGACTGTTTTGTTTAAATGATTCTAAGATTTTATAAAAAAATAAGACACGAAAATTTTTATTCTTCAAATTAAAAATTCTTTTAATGGTTTATTATATATCATATATTATGAAATTTTTGAAAAGAATTTTAAACAAATAAGATTGTTTAGATACCAAACTTTATTTTTAAAGATTACATATTTTTCTTTTTTTAAAAAATTGAACATAATATAATCCAAAATGAGATGATTTAAAATATTTATGATTCGAAAAACAATTATGATTCAACATGTTGATGTTTGTTAATTTGGATGTAAAAGTATTTGATTCAAATATTTTAGACAAAACCACATAAATGGTTCGTATGGTTTACAAAAATCTAAGATATAATCGCTTAGTTCAAAAAAATCTCATATATGGTTTTATGGTTGGAAAAACTTTTAACAAATAATCTTTTATCCACATAAAAAGACTTATTAGCCCTTTCTAATCCTTTTTAAAATCAAATTTTATCTAAGATAATATAAAAAATAGAAAAATAAACAAATTATCCGTTGGCCCACTTACCTCTCTCTCTATCTTATGAATAAAGATGACGCGGACAACTACTTAGCCCACTTCTAGCTTCTATACATAACCAAACCATATTTATCGATTCGTAGCTTAATATGTAAGATAAATGATATGATCCACTAAAACCCACTATTCACACCATGTTAAAAACCATCCACCACCATCAACTTACACCTGCTTCAGCTCCATCTTGTTCAAAAGTAAGTTACAGGTGGAAGTTGTACGTTTTTGTTCAAAAGTCTGAAGCTTTTCTAGTTTAAAAGGAAATGTTTCACATGATGAACGACAACAATCTTCTTGGGCTTGTAAAGGAGGATGTTAAGATAGCTTTGTGTCCTCGGAACAAAGTGGTCGACACCAATTTTTGTGCTAAAGCAAATAGTGAGGTGAATATTAACATAATTGAAACTAGGCGTTTCCAGGTGAGTTCTTATTCTTATACAATTTCAACTTTCAATGGAATTCTAGAAAACGCGAGAAGAAAAAGATACAGTGACTATCAATTGTATAAAGATGATGTTTAGGTTTTTTTCTAGGGATTTCACTCTACGAATCTATGGGTTTGGGATTTTTTTCTAGGGATTTGCAAAGGGATCAAGAAACCTAATTTCTTCTTCTTCTATCTGTTGTATGAAAGATGATGGATTTGCATAGGGTTCAAGAAAATGAATTTATTCCTTTTTAGCTTCGTGTTATGGTCTTATGGACATGAGGATTTCATTTTTCTCATCTTTATGCTTTTGACACAAGGATCTCATCTCTAAAATCGTTTCTATAAAATGCTAAACCCGTCATTTCTAAAATAATTTCTGAAAAACATTCAAGTCCTTGTCTCTAAAAAATGATAAAAACAGTCTCTTCTCGATCAAATATGGAAATGATTCATGTGTGTGTATTCATCCTTGTAAACCATTTATGTGTGTTCATCTCTATTAAAATACTGGTAGTGGAGTCCTAGCCAGCTAAGAATCCTTCTTGACGTCGTGTTCAGCTTCTTTAATTATTGGGTTTCTAACTTAACGAACTTTTGGGGTGTATATATATATATATATATATATATATATATATATATATATATATATATATATATATATATGCTTAGATTATTTTGTTTTTACTAACTATTGTGTGCCAGAATGCACAGATCTGGACCACCGGATGGAATAGAATCAAATGTCATGATATTAGGGTCTATGATATTAGAATAGGATAACATGTACCATATAATCACACAAATTTCAGCATAAAGGCATTTTAGTCAATTAACCTATATTAAAAAAGGAAATTTTCGGATTTTTAGGGATAATTAATTCCTTTATTTTAAAAATCTGAATATTTTAAATTAATTCAAATTTAAAAATCCGATTTTATTTTGTCAGAATGACAGAATGCCATCCATAAACTAGTAAATATATTTTCGATTTTATTTTGTTATAATGACAAAATGCTAACCATAAACTAGTAAATACATTATGAAAGAATACACAAAACCGATTCTTGAACTAATAATATACCAAATAATTACATTGTATGATTGTGATTCATTGAATAATAACAACATTCTGAAAGAATAACAAGTGTAATTCTTAAAAAATAAGAACATTCTTAAACAGTGAGTGTGATCATTCTTTGATTTATTCTTCAAGCGTTTCCCATCAGGTCTTCAAACCATTGTTCAAGCCATTTCTATCACAAATTCATTGTCAAATATTTTGTAGCGATACACTTGTAACAACTGCACATTAAATATATAAATAATTAACTACTATTCTATCAGAATACAACAATAATATTCTTGCAGAATAAACTATTCTTGCAGAATGGTTTTGAATATTGTTAAAGAATTTGTATTATCAAGAATAGACCCAACGAACAAAACATTTGAAATATAAATGCATGAAAAGATCATGTTAACACAAAAGGTGACTAAGAAAAAAAAGCAATTAGAATATATAAACCATCTTGGGCTCACAAGTTTTTTGTTGTGAAAATGATGATCTATGAAAGCACCAGGATGAAGACTCCCTGTATGTATTCCAAATGCATTATATTCCTATTCAGTTTCTCTTTACGTATAAAAAATCCAGTTACAAAAAAAAAAAAAAAAAAACCAAATATCCAAACCACATGAAACACAGTAAGGGGACAATAAGTAGGAAGAAGACCCTCCAAGGGTAAAAAGGTCTAAATAGATAGTATCTATTCCACCAGGTGTAAAAAACCACCTTTGTTTGCACCTACAACTTGTGTAAATTATTGCAACAGAAAAGTAGTCCATGTGTTTGCATTCTAATATGAAAAAAAAATCCCCACCTTAACCCTTTTCATGCAAATTCTGACAGAATGTCAGCTTAACCCTTTTCATCAAAGACTAATGACATGTACCACTACAGTTAGAATAATTCTTAAACAATGCAATTGGCACATTCTTTTTTGAACAATATAACCAAATTCTTAAAGAATGGTGAACAATATGTTATGTACTCTTATAGATATAATATGTTTCTTTATTTAAAAAATAAAAAAGAAGAGTTCATTGAGGCATTTCATCGAATGATGTATGAACATACAGAATATGCAAATTTAGTAAGAACAAATTGATAATCCATGTGTTCATTGAGGCATTTCTAGAAGCATGTATACACACAAGACTATCATTTTTGGAATGTTGGCTCTTTTTTTCTATTGAACATTAAACATTATGAGCTACCTTTTCCAACATACTACCGATTGGAAGGGAAGGGAACATATTGATAATCCATGTGTTTAGAAAATAAAGACCTTTAAGATTTGTGCTTCTACACTATCTATCTAGCTCTTAGTTCACAAGAAAATCCATGAATGAGTAAATGTAGACATATACTTCTATTTCACCTTATTAGACACCCATATGAATGAAAAAATACAATATACTAATAGAAGTTTACATAGAAGTGTGAATTTTAACAACAAAAATTGCAGCAATCTAGAGTAAATTTACCTTATCGGTTACAAAGAATAGCTAGGAATGCTCTACAAAAACTTACTTCTTGATGCTGGATCATTTGAGAACCCATTTTGAGTGATCAGAGTCGAGAAACCCAGGGGAAAACTGGGAAAGTGGATATGTGAACAGTGAGTGAGTGTTTGGAATTGTTAAGAATTGAAGAAATTAAAAGATGGACGTCGACAAAGAGAGGAAGTGGGCAGTGGTGATGGTGATGGTGTTGATGTTGGTGACGGTGTTGATGTCGGTGGTGGTCAATCTGATTTTAAGGTAACCGACCCATAAATGAAGTGGGAGGCATCAGTGTACGGCGGCATCGATTGATTAGGGAGCCGACAGTGGAGAGGCTGGAGGAAGAAGCGGCAGGATATAAGATAGAGACTAGGTCAAATATATTTATTTTATTTCCTTAATTGCAAGATTTCAATTAAATGCTTTCCTTAATTAAAAGTACAAAAGGTCCAAAATACCCTTAAATTATTTATTTAAATATTTATTAATTCTTGAATTCTCATTGGTGCATTTAGGTACACAATAATTGCCAGAAACATTTGAACCTAGCTCTCTCTCTCTCTCTCTCTCTCTCTCTATATATATATATATATATATATATATATATATATATATATATATATATATATATATATATATATATATATATATATATATATATATATATATATATATATATATATATATATATATATATTAGAGAGAGAGAGAGAGAGAGAGATGGGCCAGTTATGTATTTAATAAAAATAAAAATATTAAAAGGAAATAGTGAAAAATAAAAAATAAATATGTAAAAGGTAAAAAGGACATTTTAAATTGGAAAGAGATTAAATAACAATGAAACTAGCTTAAAAGATTAATTTTTAAAAGTTTTGGAACCGCATGAACTATCTAAGATGTTTTCTGAACTTAAGGACTATATCTAAGATTTCTAGAAACCAGATGAACAATTTATGATGTTTCGTTAATATTTTACAAAATTGTATCTTTTATGATTCAAAATTCGATTAAATATAATATGATCCAAAATATTTTGATTCAAAATAATTTTTTCGAAAGTTTTATTATCCAAAAATGATATGATTCAAAAATAATATAATATAAAAATATTTTAATACTTAATATTTTTATCAATCAAAACATTTAAAGCTATTAAACACTAAAAATTTAAACATACATTTAGCTTAAAAACAAAAAAATAAAAAAACAGAAATAAAAAACTAACAAAATAATAAAACAAAAATCCAAAAATAAATAAATAAATAAATAACTAGTAACTTCAAATATGTTGTAAAAATTTTTTATAACAAAAGAGAAAATAAAAAAGAAAACGAATTTAAATATATATATATATATATATATATATATATATTATATATATATATATATATATATATATATATATATATATAGGGCTCGGTTAAAATATAGATTACATCTATTCTGCGGACGTGTGTGGATAATGTTATTCTTTTAGAATGATTAATAAAATAGGTTGTTTGGTAATTCTAATATCTTCAATCTCATATGACTATTATCATTATCATTTATTTATCTTCTCATGCGTATTTATTCACTCATTATCATTCTTACATAATACAATATTAAGAATACATTTTAACAATATTTTGACATAATGAGAATCATAAAAACGTCCATACTAGCTTTATAGTCGATTTAATTAGTGATAATGTTTGATAATGATCATAATTATGTGAAGTTGAACGTATTCACATTATTTAACAACTTTTTCTCTTAGTCATTCTAACATAATAACACTGTCCACACAATAGATATTCATACACATATGAACGTAAGACACACACACACAATATATATATATATATATATATATATATATATATATATATATATATAATGTAAGAGACTTTATTTATAGACTTTTCTCTACAATACAAAGCCAAAATATAGAAGCGTTTATTTTTTGTGTTTATAAAACAATTATCCACACATACATAGGTTCTACCAACACATACTGCGTGTGGGTAAACACTCTTATTTTTTGAGTGAAATTTGTATGACAGTGTTAGTTGTACGTACTTTTATATATATATATATATATATATATATATATATATATATATATATATATATATATATCATTTGTACTTTGCATGATGGAATCTCACTAAAGATTTTGAATATACAGACTAGATCAAAAAATCCATTGCTAGACACAGTGCCATCAAATTCTACTGAAAATGATATAAACCCCTCACATACAGGTATTTCCAAATGTACTTTAATTCAAATTTTTTCCGTCTATTTTATTAATAGTATTTTTCTTGGAATAAGTTGTTGAAGTTTTCTTACATTGTAATTAGTGTTGGAGTTAACGAAAACTTTAACATTCCATAAAAACATTGATTTTAGAATGAAAAAGAAAGAATATGTTTTCATTAAGAAGAAACGTTAATCTTTCATTAACTCTATCCCAACATATAAAAAGTTATGCACATACTTTTACACATAGATGAAGTGAAGCAACACTTGACAATCATTGCAAAATTTCAATTGTTTTGATGGTTGAGAATAACTAACTTAACTTCTAGTATTTACTACTAATTTACTTCTATTTAAAATTTCCAAATAACCATAACTCTATATTATATTCGAACATACCCTTTAATCTAGATGTATATGACACCAAATGTAGACTTCAACAATTTATTTTATGGGTTTGACTTCATTTATCGGTTTTAGGTATGACTTCTTCACTTTGTCATTCTTACCTTTCTTTAAAGAAAAGGAATTCCTGGCATGTTTCTTAACCGGATCCACTTGCATCAACCATGCAAACTTGATCCTTCATTTTCTTCATGCACTAAGTACTTTTTGCGTCATTGTAACATCCCAAATTTCAAACAAAATTTTCCTTTTAAATCATAAGTAAAACATCCATTTTACTTCAAATATAGAGATACATGGATGTTTAAAACCATAAAACTAAGTCATAAAAAACTAAGTACCAGAATCATCATAAACAATGGAAATCTAAAACATAATAATATGTTATGCGTGTGTGGTATAGTAAAGCTTGACCCTTCCCACTATCAGTGGAACTACCTTAAAAACATTTAATCCACAACTATAAACATAAAGATTAGTGATTTCCCCAAATACAACATACAATAATACAGATACGACACAAAAAACTAGTTGAGTTGCAGCCTTGCGTTGTTACGTGAACACGACACTGGGTATATTTGACTCGTAACCTTGCATCGTTCTATCATTAACCCTCCCAACATAATAGATAGTTGACTCACAACCTTGCTTCATTTCGCCAAGGACGTTGGGTGTCTTTGAGTCGTTGCCTTACGATGTTGTGTCATAAATCCTCCAAACATGATGCATAAAAGCACCATCCATACAAGCAAACAATAAACATACAAAATACTAAACTAGTACACCAGTATAAGAATATATAACCAGATCCTACATTCTACCATACAGGGATATCGTGTGTCGTAAGGGGTATATTCAGAAAACTCACCCGAACTAAAAGTTGAAGAATCACATCTACACACGCGTTGTTATACAAATCGGTCTCACAAACCACCTAAATAACAATTAGAGGTAAACCTCAGTCTATAGCATAATCTCTCAAAGTGTGACCAAAAGTCAAATTGGTCAAAAGTCAACGGTCAATAGTCAATAGCAAGCGCACCGTAACCAAGACCAAGCGCTCTGCGGCAACTGCATGACCAAATGGTTGTGAAAATCCTAGAAGCACGTCAGGAAATCCAAAAGGTGCTTCGTGCCTAATGTCTTAACAACAACCTTCTATTAAGCACATATTCCCTTAACTCAGAAGCTCAAAACTTCAGATATAGATCTTCTAAGTGACTTAATGGATAAGGTTTCCAACTTTATCCATTTTCATGGCTTTATCTCCTCTCAATAGTAACACTAACTCTAAAATAGATAACAACTCATGCATGTCATAAAGGAAATGCATGAAAACACATGTTTACATCTTTAAACAAGTCTAGAAGGAAGTTAATCACTCATAAGGTTTTAAAGTTCTCTAAACCCCAAGAACACCATGAAAATGGACCAAATGAAACGAAAATGAACCACAAAACTAGATCTAGAGAGATAAGCATGAAGGTAAGAACTTTAAACTTACAATGGTCTAGAAATATGGTGATAATGTTGGATCTAGACTACAACAAGGCTTCCTTCAACCAAGAGAGACTTCTTTCACTTTCAAGCTTCATAAAGTATGGCACAAAATCTCAAAACTCATGAATAGTGGCTAGGGTTTGATATGGGGACGTTCTCGAGAAATGGACGCTACCAAATGAGGCAAACTCTGAAGATAAATGTCTTCAAATATGTCTTAAAGCTCGCAAATTAGGGTTTCATCTTCCAAATGGGGCAGACTACGCAGAAACTTAAGCACTCTACACCCTCCACGTGTACATCACGTCGTGACCACCTAATGTCACACTGTGTTCCAACTCAATTCTTAATACAATAAAATTAAATGAAATACATATAATAAATCAAGTATTACAGTCATCAACGCATCTACACCATATGTCAAGTAAATCTTTTTAACATATATCTCTACATATATCACATACTTTGACATCATGTTCCTAACCATTACAATGACGTCAACAACCATGACCACATATGTCGGTTTCACCATCATCTTTATCTTCACTTTTCAATTCCTCATGACCAATAGCATTACTTTTAAAACTTGGTTTTATTACAAAATATACACAAACATCATTATCTTCATTTGATTTTTTCATAAATCCTCAAAGTTACCATCATCATTATCTAGAATCCTTTCATTCAGATCATCATTATTGAAAGTATCATAGATATTGGTGATTTTAATATCATCCATACATTTAGTGTTGTATTCGAGACATGATGAGTCCATTTAGTTATATTATGAGACAGGAAGTTGAGAGTGTCACCCGTATAACTAAAGACGACACATGAACACGACGGTCTAGGGGAAGCACCCTCGGTGGGGTTGCATCGAGCATCGCCCCTGACGTGGTCTAAGGGAGGCAGCCCTTTCAGGGTAGCCCCCTGGATTGATAAATACTCCATATAGGAAAAATAGGGCTAACCGAATTTTTAGCCTAAAACCCAATATTTCCAACTCAATTGTTAATACAATAAAATTAAATGAAATATATATAAGAAATCAAGTGTTACAGTCATCAACGCATCTACACCATATGTCAAGTAAATCTTTTTAACATATATCTCTACATATATCACATACTTTGACATCATGTTCTTAACCATTACAATGACGTCAACATTCATGACCACATATGTCGGTTTCACCATCATCTTTATCTTCACTTTTCAATTCCTCATGACCAATAGCATTACTTTTAAAAGTTGGTTTTATTACAAAATATACACAAACATCATTATCTTCATTTGATTTTTTCATAAATCCTCAAAGTTATCATCATCATTATCAAGAATCCTTTCATTCAGATCATCATTATTGAAAGTATCATCAATATTGGTGATTTTAATATCATCCATACATTTAGTGTTGTATTCGAGAGATGATGAGTCCATTTAGTTATATTATGAGACAGGAAGTTGAGAGTGTACACCCGTAAAACTAAAGAGGACACATGAACACGACGGTCTAGGGGAAGCACCCTCGGTGGGGTTGCATCGAGCATCGCCTCTAACGTGGTCTAGGGGAGGCAACCCTTTCAGGGTAGCCCCCTGGATTGATAAATACTCCATATAGGAAAAATAGGGCTAACCGAATTTTTAGCCCAAAACCCAATATTTCCCTCCATTGTAAAAAGGGTGTCGTTTACCTTATTATTTGTCATGTTCTTCATATAAAAATAAGATAAGAATGTTGCAATAGAAATATATGAAAATTCTTCTTCTTATTCCTCTCTATGCATATTGTCTGTCAAGGACTTAAGAAAAACAAGACATCATGTGTTTTCGGATTTGAATTAGTCCAGTAAATTCAAATCGATTTTCTTGGATTATCCTAAATCAGAATTTTGTGACACTACATGTATAGATTTTGGAAAGTGTTTCTCATACATGGTTCTTGAATTATCTAAGTGTTTATTTTGATATTTGAAACCCAAAATCTACTAATCCATAGTTACAACCTTTAACTTGTTTCTACAGGCCCTTTTGAACCCATAACCATACACTTTGATACTATTTAATTTGTTGGAGATGATATAAAACTTCATCAATCCAAATAAACATTGTTGTAAGAAAGAAGAACAAAGAAAGTGTTTTCACTAAGAACAAACACTAATCATTCATTAACTTAACACTAGTAAGTAAAAAGTTATTGACATACTTACACACACATATGAAATGAAACAACCCTTGACAACCATTACAACCTTTCAACGATTTTATTGGTTGACAATAACTAACTCAACATCTAGATTTAACTACCTGTTAACTACTATTTAAAATTACCAAACTAACTCAATGTCTATTACATTTCAACGAATGTAATGTAAAAATTTGTTTATGGGGTGGTTTTTTCACAGTAAAAAGTATACAAGACATTGGCAACACCATTATCGATCCAGCAAAGTAAAACACACACATCCACACATTTTTTAAAACAATTAAAGAATACATACATCTTTTATGACCTTTGATATATCCATGGTTGTACTAACTGAAATAACTTTTTATTAGCGACAACCACATCAATATTGAAGCCTATAATATACTTGGGTAAACTCTACTTTGGATTGTTTCATACGAAATGATAAACACCAGTGCCACTGGTTTTTACCCAATATTGAACTTCGTCACATTGTTCATCCTCAATTTATTGAACTCGTATTATGGATGGCCTAATTGTCACTTGACTAAAGCAATAGTGCAATGAATAACAAAAGTTATGTATAATTTGCAAAGCTTAATATATAGTTATACTTTTTTGCCGAATATTAATACCCCTTGATAATTTGTTCATTTTGCACAGTTTTTGAAGGGTTGTTGACATAAAGGCACGTGAAGTTTCACGTTTGGTTTTAAATGACCATTTAACTTTATTTTTTTGGACCACTTAGACCATTAAAATCAAAATTTATCTATATAAATTACTATTTTGCTCAAAATTACTAGGTTTATCAATCGCTATGCTGATGTGTACATTGACTTTTTATCATTTGACTTTTTTTATTTATTTTTAACATTTTCCTAACTTGTTCTTAAAGCTTCAAGTTTTATGTTGCTTCTCACCATTACGTACAGAGAGATGTTATTTTTTATCGGATTCATAAAGATTTTAACTTATTGCTCCAAAGTTGCATCACATAGATGTTCATTTACACATGGAGTTTCAAAATCATCCATCCATTCATTTGAAATGGGTTACATCGATATTTTTTAGAGTTTGTTCCTCAACTTAGATGATTTCGTAATTGAAAAGGTAAACACATCAATTGCTTCACACCTTCCCTCTATTTTCTACACAAACACACACACACACACCCCACTCATTCTTCAAAATTAACATACACAGTTCACACACAAATAACAAAGGAATAAGCAATTAAATATTCAAGAATTAGCAATCGATTTAATACAAGAGGATCATAATTCGTGAAACATACTAAGCCAAATCCTTGAAGAAAGTGATGAAAATGAAATATATATCAAGTAGGTCCATCGGAAGCCGGTCAATTTGAGCCTCTCCTCCTTCCATTACCATGTTAGAGAGAGAAAAATAGACCCAAATGTAGAGATTCATATGGAAACGGTTCCATCAATTCATATTTTTGGAGTTTTATCCTTAATTTATTGAACTCTTTTTCTAACTAAGAGATCCTATCATTGGCGATCCTTAATTCTTCAACATAATACACGATTTCAAAGTTTGATCAATTCTCTTCATGTTCCATCTGAACCTTCCTACTCTTAGTCTCTAATTCAACGATCTTTTTACACAGTCGCCTGTAATTTGATTAACCATATTAGCTATGAAGAGGGGAATCATCTAAATATGACTGGGAAACCAATGTTGAAGTGTCGTATCTTTTGTTTCCAATTAAAATAAAAAAAAAATTGAAATCCTTGATAAGCGACGATGTGATGATAAAAGGTAGTTCGGAAAATACATCGAAGTTGCGAGATTTTTGGGATCGCAAGTCTGATGAGCGGCTCCTCAATTCGACTTTGGTTTCATTCTAACGCTCGACCAATGATTTGAAAATTGTATAGAAGTCTTCGAATGGTCTAATGAAAACCTTTGACTATCACAAAACAATGTATGCATAGCAATGTAACCGAGAAACCCGATGACTTTGACTAAAATGGTATTTTGGATTTGTAAATTTCAAGTTTAATGGTCTAATTGGTCCAGATAATAGTTAAATGGTCATTTAAAACCAAACGTTGAAACTTTCATGTGCCTTTATTTTTTAAAACATATTCCGAGACACAGGGAATTACAAAAAATGTAATCCTAAACGACTCCTAAAGTCCACCTATGTCTCGAAGGAGACTTGAACTCTCGACGTCAACGAGGGAGGGCAACACCAAGGCTAGAACCCCTTTGGTAAGGATATCCACTTTTATCATATATAAAACACCAACTATTTGCACGTGTTCTTTAACTCCCTTAAAGAAGTCTAGTCGTTTAAAAATCAAGAGAATCCCTAGAGTCGAATTCGACTATAATAAACTGTTTGAAAATGTGGAGACTTAACTTTGATCGATGACTGCCTACTCTTGATATATAGTAATGATCGACTTTCTTTTTGATAATCTTATTTTCCAAAAAGAGGTACTGTGGAGCAAGGAGATAGATAATGAAACCGGTCCAAGCATAAAATTGCGCCTGCCAAAAGACAATACCTCTAAGATTGTGAATATTAATTTATAGTAAAATTGCAAATTTTGGGCATTTCCATTAATTTGAGTTAATTTTAAAATAAATGCCTGATATAAAGTTTCAAAGATTATCAAGTAATTGCATAATATGATGTATTTCACTTATATTTCATAATAATAAAATAAATTTTGGAAGACATTTCTCTCAAAGTATGCAACTTACGTTATGTTAATTCTATAAAAAATCGGGGTCGGATGTTCACAACCCGTTGACTGCAGCCAACTAAAAACACCATGCACCAGTTTAAGGTAGCGAACTCCTGGCTAGCTTTTGGTGGTTTTTAATTTATTTTGAGCCAGTGTTAAGTCTCTCACCAAAGTGACTCACAAATAGTGCAGCAAAAGTGTCAGTTATGTAAGAAATAATGGGGTTTACATAAGCACACAACATAAACACTTGCAGTCTTATCTTTTTCCTCAATATTTGGATTTGCTTACTGGTTATAACTTATTGATCATTAATCTTATATTGTTGGTAGAAATGGGACGTCAGGTAACAAATGCAGATGTATTCGAAAGTTACTTTAAAAGAGCAGATTTAGATCAAGATGGGCGTGTTAGTGGTGCTGAAGCCCTTCCCTTCTTTCAAGCCTCTGGTTTACCTAAGTCAGTTCTCGCTCACATATGGCGATGTGTTGATACAAATCGAAATGGTTACCTTAGTCAGGTAGAGTTCGATAATTATCTGAAACTTATAACTGTTGCACAAAGTAAGCGAGAACTTACTCCAGATATGGTGAAAGCAGCATTATATGGACCTGCTTCAGCTAAAATACCCGCTCCCAACCTCATTCCACAATAACATGTGCACCTCAGCCAATTTTAAACATAGATCTACAGCCTCAGCAAGAATAAAATCATGTTGTCAAAAAGAATCTTGACAGATTTATGGTAAAACAAAGTTATTGTAATTAACTACAGTTAATAGTTTTACAATAACAAAAAAATGCTGTTATAAAATATTGTTGTTTTATTATATTATATAATTCAATACACATCTATCAGAACGTTGGAAGTTAAAGACATGTACTATGATGATTAAACGTGAATTAAAGTTAAGACGTTGTATTTGTTTTAGTGATTGGTTAGTGATAGAAAGTTGTATCACCAACTTCCTGCTAAACAATACAAAGGGCATATTTGGCATATAGTTTTTGAAAGTTTTCAGCTTTTATTTTTCAAGAAAAATTTGGAAAAAAAAACTTCGTTCAGCACCAAAAACTTTTTTAGCTTTTGGGTTGAAGAAAATGTTTCAAATTAAAAAGCTACTGCAACTAGCGTTTAACAATAAACTATTTTAGATTTTTACAAATTAACATAATACTTTTTAAAATAAATAAATCATATTCATATTTTTGGTAATTATATATATATATATATATATATATATATATAATATATATATATATATATATATATATATATGATTAAATTAGACATATATTTTTATCAAAATTAATCTTCATACTTTTGGTAATTAATCGTCATCAAAGAAATAAATAAATAAAAATTATATGAATTTATAAACAAAAGTTAATCTCATAAAATAATATTGTTGCTTTTAGAACAATAAATTATTGTAATATGTAGAAAACATATTTGGTCTGGGTTCTTAGGAAATTGAAAAGTCTTATTTACCTTATTTGTAAAAAACTCATTATTTAACGATATTGAGAAACTTAACTGGTTCACCTTGGAATTATATTTTGGATGGTTTTTAACTTTTTATAATTATGATTTTTAAAAATTAAATGATCATCGGTATATTTCAATTTTAATTTATATTTATATATTCTTTTATGTTATTTTACACATTTTAAAAACTTTTAGCTACTTATGTCGAACATTCTTATACGAATAAAAACTCAAGCTTCTAGGTACCTGGTGGTACCAGGTACTAGGTACACAGTACACGATACAAGGTACAAGGTACAAGGTACAGGTTACCTGGTGGTACATGTGGTACAAGTACCACCAGGTACACAATACACGGTGCACGATACCATGATACCAGGTACAGGTACCACAGGTACAGGTACCACAGGTACAGGTACCACAGGTACACGTACCAAGAGAAACATGTATCACTAGGTACAAGTACCACGAGAAACAAGTACCACCAGGTATAGGTACCACCGGGCATATACCACCAAGCACAAGTACCACCGAGCACTAGACACCGGGCACCGAGCACCGGTCACTATTGTCGTACACGCCCAAAGAGTTATAGAAAAAAATTAAAACTTACAAAAGAGAAATAAGTAAATAACACCAAACAACACCAATGAGGAAACTACAAATTAAAGATTCATAGGAAGCATGCAAAGCAACTAAGAAAGGTAAAATAGTCTAAATATCTACCAAAATGAGTAGTTAGCAAAAGCATTGATGATATGTCGATTTATTTAGCCGGTTATCCGGGTCTTGCTTCTGGCTGATAGGTGTGCGTCCTTTTTGGATTCCGACTATAAACCCCGAGAAGCGTTAAGAAAGAAGACCGTTAGGCTTGTCCTAGTGACTGTACACCAGAGCAAGCTCAAAAGATCAAGTTAGATTGCTAGTGTAAAGAGAGCTGACTCCTCCTAGAGGGAAGGAGCTGACTATGTAGAGACAAAGATGTCTCCGTGAAAGAGATTGAAGTGAGTAAAGAGCACTTGCCTGGAATGTTTAAGGGTGTTTTCTGTTTGGAGGAATGGAACGGAAGGCATGGTAACATTATATTGGTAGCTAATTTAATATTAGATCTTGTTTCCTTGCCTGGTCTTCAATTATTGTTCATGTATCATGGAAGATATTCTACTTTTCTATCCTCTCGTCCTTTTGTCCTTCCATTTTTATCCTTCCACTTCTATCCTTAGACTTCCATCCTTCCATTTCTATCCTTCAATTTCTATCCTTCCAAATTTAATCCTTCTATTATATTTGGGAGGCCAGGGGGATGGTCCCCCATCAAGCACCACTAGTTGCAGTTTTTTTAGGGTATCGAGCAAATCAACAAGCACCACATGGAAAATATTATAAATAAACTTCTCCTAGAAAATCATCAAACTAACACCAAGGGTAAAAAAAGTCTAAAAGTATGAAAAACAGCTAGGCGGCTGGGATGTACACGAAAATTGCGGTAACTCTAGAGAAACTAGCAAAAAAAGACACAATAACTATCTGGAATAAACACCCAACATGCAAGAATCAGGCTCAAGGGTAAAATAGATACAACTCGAATAATTCGAAACCATTATGATGAAAACCACCAATGACAGTGAACTTCACTATGCAAAACAATTAAAGTCAACGAACAATAGGATCTGTGACATCCCCAATTTCACGGCCATAAAAGACCGAGTTGTTTATGCTTTGTTTTAATAAAATCAGAGTAATCCTTTGATTAAAAGTGTTGCTGAATTTGTTCCCAAAACAAAATATGATAAGAATTTAGCAAAGCATTTCTTAAAGAAATGTATTTTCATTATATAACAAAATCTCGGGATGTCATGTTCCGATACAGACACATAAGCATAAACAGAACTTACATTTATTTACACTAATGATTTACATCTCCTTTAAATCTCTTAGAGAAATATGTATTCGTATCGATACCTGTGATACAAAGAAAACTGAGTGGGTCAGGCTTGGGATCCTAGTGAGCATATAGGGTTTTCAACCCACAATAACATAATTATTAAATTTAATCATCAAACAATCAACCCAATTATCCATCCCAATTATCTTCTTTAACCCTAAGGATCTACCCTAAGAATCAATGATTCTTCACTCATTCATTCCATAGCTACCCAGGTACTTCTATACGGTACTAAATCCATAGCTACCAAGGTTCATCTATACGGTACTAAATCCATAGCTACCAAGGTTCATCTATACAGTACTAAATCTATAGCTACTAAGGTTCATCTGTACAGTACTAAAGCCATAGCTACCAAGGTTCATCTATACAGTACTAAATCCATTGCTACCAAGGTTCATCTATACAGTACTAAATCCATAGCTACCAAGGTTCATCTATACAGTACTAAATCCATAGCTATCATCTATATAAGGCACTAAGTCCATAGCTGCCAGGGTTTTTAGAGTACACCGGTGAACATCAAGTCCACAACACCTACAAGTTGGGAGCTTGCTAGTGTTCCACTGTACTGTCTAGAATAGTCCCTGGTTGTCATCCCTATTCTGCTGAATGACGGGGGCCAACGCTTGGGTAAAGGTTTTACTCATTTTTCACCTGTCACCCTCATCTCATGATCTATATCATCTTTCGTCTCATCCTCAAACTCATCTTTCATCACACACCAACTATTTCATCTACCCATGTTCTACCCAACATATTTGAAGATATAAAATACATATACAGTTTAACTCATTTAAAATCAATATAAAACATCCATTCCACACCCATCTCGAATAAACAAACAATATATAAACACATAGCACGTATTTCATAATAAATATTTAATGGTTAAGTGTTAGAAGAAAGTAAGTACACACTCACTTGATTAAACGATGCTCAGACAGCACTACCACTCTAAAAACAGTATTCTTCTGTGAAACCGGGATATCTTCACACACCGGGCTTCTTGCGGGTAGAGCTTCGGTTTGAAACTCTTTTCTTCTCGGGACCTTCGGAGCGTCGGGACTCGCTTTGGGTATTGGGGATGATATCGGGGCTTCGGGGGTTTAAAAGAAGGCTTAAAGGTTAGCAGAGTAGGAGAGAGGCTGGGAAATTAGCAACCAAAACCGGCTGCCTTCGGTTTCTATTTATAGGGCTGAAAATTCAGTTTTCACGTCATGAACCATCATTTCACGTCGTGACCTTGGATGTCATCAGGTGCGTAGTCGCGATGTTCAGTCTGTCAGGCTCCAGAAGACGTCAGCACTGAGTTCACGTCGTGAACCTCTTTTTCACGTGGTGAACTCTGACACAGTGTTGGGGTTCGCCCCCCCCCCCCCCCCCCCCCCCCCCCCCCCGAACTTCAGAAATTCATAAGTTTTGCATACGAGCTCCGTTTTCGACGTTCTTTATATCCACGCGTAGGTGAGATTATGCTCTACAACTCTCCTTTAGACTCCATCGGCAAGTTTTGAACTTAATTTTTATTATATTTATTTTTAGTAGGCTAGGACAGGAAAACTCCGTTATAAACTCATAACTTCTTCATCCGACATCCGTTTGCGTCTGTCTTTTTACCGTTGCACTACTATCGACGAGATCTTCGATTCTTGTTTAGATCACTAAGGCTACAAATCGCTCTTTCGTAAATTCACTATTTACGTCACGCTGTGTCGTGCCGGTTCTGTCGCGAAACTTCGACAGGTCATAACTTCTTCGTTATAACTCAGATTTCAGCGTTCTCTATATGTACGAAATCATTGTAACATATACTACAACTTAGTTAAGATTATTCATTCAAAATAATCTTCCATCAAAAAGTTCATTTTTTGACCCTCATTGTCCTTAAATTGACTAACCCTGAGCTACGGGCGTTACAATTATCTCCCAGAATCATCAACGAAATAGGGTTGGTATAATGATTCCACACGTTATCTTTCCATCCTAACTAATAACCTTGATGCTCAACCTTGCGCCTGCTCTTCGTACTATGTTGGATTTTCATTCGTAACCTTCGAGTTACAAAATAAGTCCTTATTGAGGACTCTTTCTTCTTCTTAGGATAAGTACTTTCCTTTATCTATTGTAATAGATCGATGGGTTATGTTCTATTGATCT